GCGTCGCGGGGCGGCGCGCGGCCGGGGACGCCGCCTTCCGCTTGGGCGCGGACCCGCGCCGCGGCCGACGGCGCCGCTGTTGCCGGCGCGCCGTCGTCGTCAGCACCTGCAGCTGCGGGGTCGCGCACTTACAGCGCGTGGGGCTTGCTCGACCTTCTGATGGACGAGTGGCTCGTGAGGGCCCGGGCCAACGCAGCCGCACTAGGGTCACTCTTCAGGGCGGGTGAGGGCCCGCCGCAACGCGGGCAGGGGTCGTGGCGCTGGCAGGCGGGAAGCGGCCTAGGGGCGCCTGACAGTATGGCCATACGGCCAGTGGCCGTGCGGCGGGGCTAGCGGTTCCACTCGCGAGCGGCTTGCGTTCTGTGTGAAGCGGGTGTTGATGAGCAGGTGCAAACCCGCCCGCACCACTCACGCCTGCAGGCTGCGGCGACGACGGGCTGGCAGGTCGGGAGGACTTTTCCGCGATGGCGCGGCTGGCGGCGCCCGGGGCGCAGGTGCGTGTGGGGGTGCGCATGCGGCCCCAGGGGCAGTGAGTTCGTGGTCTTGATACAGCACTGAGGCGTTGATCTGCGTTCCAATGCACCTGGGTAGCTGGCTCCCAAAGAAGCAGGGACAACAGACGCAGTCATGCGCGCAGGCTTACGCAACGCGACACCATGTTTGCTTGTGGTGCAATACTGATGCTGTTGCAGGAAGCCGACATCAAACGCATGTGGGCGGCCGCCCTCGCCCCTGCCGGGGCCCCTCGTCACCGCCGAAAGGGCAGCCGGCGCCGCGCCCGCATCAGCGCGACTGCATTTGTCATGGCGGCCCGCAGCGAAGGTCTGGACGGGTGGGTGCTGGATCCAGCAGCTGAGGCGTGCCAGCTGTTTGCCACCTGCTTGGCAGCTTCTTCTTCGTCAGCAGCAGCAGCAGCAGCAGCAGCAGCAGCAGCAGCAGCAGCAGCAGCAGCAGCAGCAGCACCTTGGGATGCTGCATCTGCTGGGACAGTGGCAGCCCCGACCATGGCGGGTGCTGGCGACTTGATTGACGGCGCTGCCAAGACAGCAGCACGCAGCGGCCGCTCGAGCCCTGGGCAACTCACCAGCGGCGAAGCACTGACGCGGCCCGGCACTGCCACCAGCTGCGTGTCTTGGCCCGCCACCAGCGCAAGCGACGGCGCACGGCTGGGTGCGAGCGGCCTGGGCAGCGCAGCTTCATTCAGCACGGCGCGCAGGGGGCCACGCGAGGCGCCTTGTGCTGCGTTCGGCCACATCAACAGGTGGGGGGATCTGGCTCATTTGGGCAGCGGCGGCTACTTTGCTTGTGTGCACTGCGCCAAGCAGCGACCCCAGGAGCGAACACACGCAGCAGGGATGGGGGACAACGGGTGCAGTTGGAGGCCTCAAAATGCACCAAGCCTTCAGCTGCGAGCGCCAATGCTCCCCATCCCTGCTTGTTAGAGCCGGACGATCTCATCCAGTCCAAGCCATCTGCGTTTCCCTCTGGCCTCCCCTCTACAGCGCCCTCGCCGCAATGGCGCCGACTCTGGACGAGCGAGTGGCTGCAGCGACAGCGACCGCATCATCGCTGGACGCCGTCCCGCGGCGCCAGCTGCTGGCGAGGCAGGCGGCGAGGCTCGCCGCGCTGCAATCCGAGGCGCAGGACCCTGCCGCCGCGTGGCTTGCCCTGAAGCTGCTGATGTCAAGGCTCCAGGAGCTGCAGCGACTGCAGCAGCGGCAGCTGCAAACACGGTGAGAGTTAAACATGGCCAACTTGTTGCAGCATGGGATGCATGTGACGAGGGAAGAGCGCAGCGTGCAGGGGGTCGTGCTCAAGTAGCACTTCCATCCATTCCCATCGCTCGTGCTGTACTTGCTTACGGAAAGCCGCGCTGCCGCACACTCAATTTCTGCAGGCCCAGCCGCATCAGCCCCAGCCGGTTGTCCTCACGCTCCCTCTTCTCGCCGCTGGTGACATCATCAGCTGGGGGAGGGTCGCCATCGCCACTTGGCACGGCTGTAAGCCGCAAGTTTGCGCAAGGAGTCGCGTGGGCGGATGGCTGCAACTCCCCCAGCGGCGATGGCATTGAGCAGCAGCAGCAGCAGCAGCAGCAGCAGCAGCAGCAGCAGCAGCAGCAGCAGCAGCAACAGAAATAATTGCCAGGGCGAATATTGGAAGTTTATGTCTCGCTTTATCCCCTTCAAGCTGTAAAACCACGGAATCGCTTGCTGCTTGTGCGCGTGATGCAGAGGTTGTGCACCATATGTGGGCCTCACCAAGGGGACCTGTCCAAGGTCGTGTGGTTAGGCTCAGTCACAAGCAGCAGCTACAGCCTCCACAGAAACAATTTTGTGTATGTCGCCCACACAAGCATTTTGGGCTCCCCTATAAATGTGTAGTCAAACAGAAGTCAATGAGTCAAGTAAGTCATCTCAACTGGTGTCACACGGTACCAAAGTGTGTGCTGACCACGTGATAAGCACAGAGTTGCGTCAACAATGCTTATAATCGCCATCTTCTTAGAGTGCCGTGCTCATGTCCCCACCAGCTTCTCGCGGACCGTGAGAAGTTGCCTCGGGCGGCTCTTGGACAAAGCGACCCGGAGGTATTCCCGCGCAGAAATGTGCGTGCGCTGCTCATGCACTGACATTCGCACAATACCGGTATAGCACTTGCTCATCTTTGTGCAACAAAACGCCGTCCTACCAGCCCGCTCACCAATTCGTTACGCGCAAGCAACCACAATGCGTACTTCCCACTCCCTCGTATGTGCTCTGGCTCTCTGTGCGGCGCTTTCCGTCAGCGCTCAGTCAACCGCAGCCTCTGGTCAGCAGAAGAGCACCAAGACGCAGCGCCCTACAGCCGGGGAGATTGACCCTCTATCCTTTACACTGTTTTCATACCTCGGCAACAGCCTGCTCTGGGCGGCTGGCAACGTGGCCAAGGTGACTGTTTGAAACGGTTGGTTGGCTTTGGCCTGAAAATCAACTTGGATGCGGGCCAGCATGCCAACTGACACTTTGACGGCTTGGCAGCTTCTGGATCCGGGCGAGGCCTCTGCTGTTGCGCTCCGTCACCTGTTACATCAACGCCGTTTCGCCACAACGCGGCGTGGCCCCAACATCACGTTGCCTTCCAGGCGAATGCGCCGCCTCTCGTGGGCGGCTTCTTTGAAGACACTCAGAAGTTCCTCGCCGATGTGCGCTGAGTCGACAGGGACCGATGGATGGGTGCTGGATGACACGTGGCCCTGCAACTGAGTCACCCCAGCCCGGCCATTGAGTGAGGCGGCGTGTGCGCCGCTACGACTGGGTCCTTCCAGCACAGTCATGAATGCTCGCACTGACACCCCCACCCCTTCCGGGCCCCCTGGGCACACTGCCCCGCTGCCTGCAGCGCCTTGCAGAGGGCGCAAAGCAGATCGCTGATTACGGCAACGCCTTCCAGCAAGACTTCACCACCCTAGTGCACGTGGTCAACAACTCGAAGGTGGGACAGGGGACGCAAAGCACGCGCACTGGCTCGGCTTACTTCCTGGCTCATGCCTATATCAAGATGCCTGGCCATGTGCTTATTCAGGATATGGGCACCAGTGTAGGATGTGGACATTGTCATCATTCCCGTATGATCATGTGCGTGCTGGTGCACTGCGTCAGCTGTTTCACTACCAATTCCCACGCCCGCTGCGCCCTTACCCCTGTTGTGGATGGCACAGCGTGCCGCCACCACCGACGACGGTTCAGGTGCCATCGTGAACGTCTGCAAGACTTTTGACAACTACAAGTGAGTCTGGCTCACTGGATGGTTGCTGCCCGCCTTCTGGAAAACTCACTTGTCCTTGGCCTCTTGTAAGCAACCATGTGGTGCTTTTAGCACGACGCCTTGAGCTACCAGGTTCCATTGAATGGACGCGGGCTTGGTGAGCGACCCCTGCCTGCATCAACAGCAGCCTGTCCCCACGCACCTACCCCAATCACAGGAAGAACCCCACCGTGTATGCCGACCCGACGTCTGATGCATCGATCAACGCGCTGCTGGCATCCGTCTGTGCCACGCTGAACAAGAACGGCCCCCAGGCCGCAGCGGCCCTGGCCAAGGCGTCCCTGAAGGACGTTGGTGAGTGCTTGCGGACGCGGCGGGGCAGACGATGTAAGAATGACCCATCAACATGCCAATGTATGCATGTCCAATGGGAGCCATCAAGGCACACTGGTGGTCTGCTGGCACCTGGCAGAGTCGACCGTGCAATCTCGGTGATACCATACATCATATAGCAGGCCATCAGCCTCAACACCCCCGCTCTGCCACCTGGCCCCATCACCACCCTTGATTCAAATGCAGTGAACGAGGCGGTGGCGAAGAACAAGGCCAAGAACACCCAGAGCCACACAACCCTCCCTACTTCCACCGGCGCGACTGCCGCCTCCGCCGGCGCCGCTGCGACGCCCGCCGTGAAGGCTGCTTCCGGCGCCGCCAACGGCCTGAGTGCCCTGAGCGGCCTCGGCAGCGGGCTGAGCGGCCTCAACATTGGCAACGGACAGATCGCAAACCAGATCGCCACGGCTGCAGTGACCCAGCTCCTCCCGCAGCTGCTCGCGTCCGTCGACCAGCAGGCGCTGCAGGAGGCCAACACGCCGGTGGCTGCAGCCGACGATCAGACGGCCTCGACGCAGGCCGCGGACCAGACAACGGTGCCGCGGCGCTGACGTGACTGGTGATGTCACGCTGACGTTTTGCCGATGGATGCCACTCCCCCCTGCTTGCAAAGCGTGCTCTCTATAGAACACTTCACATGGCTTCCTCCGCGAGCTGACAACATGGTGATCTCCACAGCCGCACAACGACATCAGCCGTTGTGCGGCCGCCCTTGCGCCCCTGCCTAGCACGCCGTTGCCCTCAATCTGATGCGGCTGGCCGAAGGGCGCACCTTTGTATGTTTTGTTTTACTGAGGTGCAAGAGCCAACCCGCCGTGCGCCCAGCCAGTTGGGCGCGGCACACTCCAGCGCAGACCGTCACTCCTTGTAAGAATAAACAGGAAGATGCATCAAACCACACAGTCTGAAACATCGGCTTTGTTGCAACGGTACAGATTGTCAAGGAGTCAGAAGGCCCCTGCTTGGGCACGTACATATACCACACAGCTTGGACGTGCAAAACAAAGACAGACGGGACTTGCCTCCAAACTCCTACGTGCCAAGACTAGCCATGACATTTGTTGCAACGGGGCTCGTGCGATTCTGCACCACATACACAAGCTGCGCACGGCTCAAGCAGGGTAAGGCCTCTGTGGGGATGGGCAAAGCGAAGGGAGAATGACGAGGGGGCACGCAGTCTCTCGGCAAGTCTGCGCTGTTAGAGCAGGATGGGCTGAACTCGCCGAGCGCCGGCCCGTGGATGAGGGCGCATGGCCGTTGTCAGCCCCTGAACTTGGGCACCACAAATGTTTGCACGATCCAGAAAACAAGGATCGCCAGCATCATCCACGGCAGCGGGAATCCCCTGGGGTGCGATTGATTGCATGTGTGGTGGGTTTCAGCCTGTTGGAAAGAGCAGCAGGTCTAGGATCGCGCCCGCGTATGCCTCCCTGCAAACGCATCCTGCATGACTGTGTAAGCACTCAAGGCTTCCCGCAAAGCAGTCCAGGCTGTGCTGCACGCCCCTGGCCTCCCCCCACCACCCACTTGGGCTCGCTGACGCCCGCCCAGGGGAAGCCGGCGCCGTTGGCGTCCACTCCGACGGCTGCGCGCGCGTTGGCTGAGAGGATGGTGGTGTCTGGGGCCATCATCACCAGCGTGGGGATGCCTTGGACGCGGAACTTGCTGCGAGGTTGTGGGATGAACAGTTTTCAGGGATGAGTGGCGAGTGGCGCGGCGTTTCATCAAAACCAGTTGACAACAGGTGGAGAAGTACACCAAGGCAAAGGGCTGCCTGGTTACGTCACAGCAGCCCAGTCACGACATGGACCCCATGGCTTGCCTTGACAGTGTATTCCGCAGGGCGCTGTCCTCAAACGGTATGGCGAGCCACGGCATCGAGGAGAAGTACTCCTGGCGGTGAGGAGCGGGCCAAGAAAGTGGGGTAGTGGGGGATGGATTGTGGCAGCATGCAGGCCGTGGAATCAGGGTGTGATGTTGGTTGGGAGGTATGCAGGACGAAGGGAATGGATGAGGTGCATCAGACCACATGGGGTATATCGGAGTGCGGCACCTTGCAGCGCCGTCTGAGTCTTTGTCCATGCTGTGTGCCGACAATTTTTGAGTTTGGGATGGGGACATGCCCGGTCACACGTTTCTCGGGGTCCAAGGACCAGCGCCCTGCCTAGACAGCAGATCTGCCGGCAACGCCTGCGTGCGGCCTGGCAGCGAGGGAAAACAACGGCCTGGCTCGCCTCGAATTGGTGCTTGTTCCTGTCGCACGACACGTACACCACCTCCCACTCGACGCCGTCCTTTGCCAGCTTGCTGTACGTGTCGGCCATCCGCGGGGTGAACTGGCGGCAGGGCGGGCACCTGGGGGCGGCAGCGGGGTGCGGGCCAGGGTTGTCCCGCGAAGCCTGGGAGCAAGCATGGCTGGCAGGTTGTGATCGGGGACCCGTCAGCCCCTTTGCTGCTTGGCAGCGTGCCGGTGCTGCGCTCAACAGCTGTCGCGCTTGCTGTATCAGCGCTCGCGGCGGCGCTGCTGGTTGGTGCTGCTTGGCCTTGCAGGGCTGTGTTGGGATGCTGGGGCCCCGTGTGCTGTTGCTGCGCGAAGGCCCGGCGCGACTGCGCGTCTGCATCCATTCCAGGATCACGATCAACTGGAGACGATGAAGACAGCGACTGTGCGGCCTCTACACTCACTTACCACCCACCAGTGCGCCGAAAAGTACAGGCCCACGTGCTTGCCCTTCAGGGCGGTGGCGGTGTCGACCACCTCTACCGCCCCCTCCCCCGCGCTGCGAACAAGCTTCTTGCCCAGGACTTGCTCCCAAGAAGCTCCATGATCTGTGCTACTGGACATTGCAAATGTACGGTACGTGTGAGCAACGGGGGCTTCCAGGACCGACAGCTGGTGTGTATGTTGCTCGTAAGGTACGGTATTCTTTTCTAAGCTTTTCCTCAATGAATGATATCTGTACGACACTCGGATGCTGGGTTTATATTATTAGTTGCGTCGCTATTGATCATAAGCGCTCAGATCACAAGATCAACTATATCTTCTTCCGCAACCAGCTTTTGCCAGACCTGTTAGGACTCTAGTATCCGGCATTGCGGAGTTTGATCGCACGTGCTCCGTGCTCCGCCGACTGCCGTGGTCGACCCCGCTCGTCAGCGGCGCTGGTCATTGTGGTGTTGCCATGCTGCCCGGTGCACCGTCGTGCGGAGTCTCAAATGCGGTTTCACCAGCGGCACAGTCGAGGCGAATGATTATGCCGCTTACATGGGCCCCGCACCCGTGCAGCGCGGCGGGCCTTGCCATGCGGCCGTGCGGGTCACCCACCGCAACAAGCCTGGGCGGAAGGAGCGTCTGCAGCATCAGAGGTGCATCACCCACCCTCGCCCCGCGCCAGCACCGAGCGACGCGCCGCGCGCGCCTGGTGGTCGCAGCGTCCGCAGCGCCCGCGGCCGGTGGCGGCAGCGGAGGCGCGGCTGTGCCCGTCTCGGCCGGAGTCGGGGTGAGTGACCCCTCTCCCTGCCCGTTCGCAGCTGGGCCCTTGTGGCCTTATTGGCAACCAAGGATAACCTGGCCTACCTGGTCCACATGAATTTCCCTTTGCTGCTGGCAAAGCTCAATGGGATGTGATATAACCCACAAACCCGGCCTCGACTTTTTGCAATGCACACCCCCGCTGCCCTCCCCCTACTCTAGGCTGCCGTCGCGGCCGTCCTCGTCAGCGGCGTCGCCAACCGCGTGCTGTACCGCCTGGCGCTCGTACCCATGAGGGATCACGTGTTTGCGCTGGCGCAGTTCCAAAATATCGGCTATATCCTAATCTACTTCTCACTGCTGGCACTGCGATACAGGCGAGGGAGCACACCAGCCCCGCGCAGACCCGCCTTGGGGTCCGTGGGACGCGGCGCAGCACGGCATACCCTGCGCCGCGCCCCCATCATGGCTTGCCTGCAGCCGCTTGGCACCACAAGCGACTGTCATGCGCATTATTCTGCTGATTGATCAAGTTGTGTGGGTGTATACGGCTCGGTCGAGGGTCTCTCGTCGGCGTACGCAACCAGCTGCAGGCTCACACACTTGCATGTGCTGCCATTGGCTTCCCTGCTATGGTGCTGGCCCTGTCCGTGTCCCAGAGCGGGCCACCCCTTCACTCATATCCAAATTTGTTGCCATGCTATCCCCTCTCCACCCACCGCAGGCAGGGCAAGGTGACCCCCGAAATGCTGGCCATCCCCAAGGGCCAGTTCCTCTTCATCGGCGCCTGCGAGGCGCTGGCGCAGGGTAGGCTTCTGGGGCTGTGCTGCTTGCTTATACCTGTAGGCTTGAGTTCATGGCCATCATGATACAGCGAACACACATTTTGGGCACACAAACATAGACTCCAACGTGGTCAAGCTATTTCGCGGCAACCTACCCCTTCGGGCCAAAGGGGCAGGCCCGTGTTTGTCCCGCAGCGCAACCATCTGCTGCCGCGTGAGCTGCCTGCGACCGCCCGTCCCCCTGGCCGTGCGCAGTGCTGCTGATGGCAGGCGCGGCGCACCTGCCCGGCGCGCTGCTGCCTCTACTCATGCAGACGTCCCTGTTCTGGCAGGTGGCCTTCAGCGCCCTGCTGCTGGGCACCAGGTGCGTGCGCGCGTGCACGGGGGTCCCTGGGCTGCGCCACCGGGCAAAGGGCCGCCATGGCCACTTCCCATCCTCAGCTGTTGTGGGCACCGCAAGCAGGGCGGGCCGCGTGGGTCATTTGCGATCCCCGAATTCAGCAGCCCAGCTGAGGCCCCAGTGTGCTGCTCTTAGGGATGCCCGTCTCGTGCAAACAGTGAACCCCGCCTGCGCGCTGCTGTGCTCCTGCCCCCGCCCCCTCAGGCCCACGCTCAACCAGCTGGCTGGCGTGGCGCTCGTCTCCGCCGGCGTGGCCCTCGCCAGTCTGCCGCCCCCCGCCGCCGCCGGCGCAGCGGCCGCACCCGCTTTGGTGCGGCCTGAGAACTTCAAGCACGTGGCCCTGTGCGTAATAAGCTTTGCCTTTCCGAGCCTGAGCGTGATCCTCAAGGAGGGCATATTCCGGGAAGCCAGGCGGAAGCTGGGGCGCGATCTGGAGGTGCTGGTGGTCAACGCCTTCGGCTCCACCGCCCAGGTGGGGCGGCGCAGGCTGATCTCGCTGGCACAACTGTGTGTGCGTGCGATTGTGTGTGTGTGTGTGTGTGTGTGTGTGTGTGTGCGTGTGTGTGTGTGTGCGCGTGCGTGCGTGCGTGTGTGCGCACACGCGCGCATTTTTGTGACCGCGTGCATGTAGGATGAAGCGTGGGAGTCTTGCAGTGGCCCTGGGCCAGAATTGTGATTGCCTGCCCGAGCCTTTACGTGCCCCCCAACAGCGCTGAGCCGCCAACCACCAGCCGGGTCAACAACCACCTGGTCCCCAGCCCATTGTGCTCGAGTGACTTGCTGCATTCCTGCACAATCCAACAGGCTGTCTTTGTGCTGGCCCTGCTGCCGCTCATCACTGCCATCCGCGGCCTGCCCCTGGAGTCCCTGCCACAAGTGCTGCTGGAGGGGGGGCGCGTGCTGGCCGGGCAGCCGGCGCAGGTCGGCGGCGCCGTGCTGCCGGGCGCTCCGCTCTTCCCCGCTGCTTACGTCTTGGCCAATGTGAGTGCAAAAGCGCCCCTGGGAGTCGCCACCGCGCGCCGTGCTGCGGTTTCTGCATGAACACACAGGGCGGGTGTTGCAACGAACACGCGTGCCTCACTTGCACACCCAGGGGTTTCAGACGTACCGCCCTGCTGCTTGCTGCTGGCTGAATTGCGACATCCCACCGCCCCTCACAGGTGGCGTTCAACATCACGGCGCTGTCCCTCGTGCGCTCGACGGGTGCCGTCACCGCCAGCCTCGCATTGGCCTGCCTCGTGCCGCTGTCGGTTCTCGCGTTTGCGCTCCCGCTGCCGCTGCTGCAGCAGGCGGCGCTTGGGCCCAACTTCTGGGCGGGGTGTGGGCTCCTCATGGGGGGCCTGGCTTGCTACAATTGGAAGAAGGGCGCTGCAAGCAGCGGGAAGTGAGGCGTTGGACGCCATGCTCCATGGCTGCGCCTGACGATTTCGTGTGTGTCTTTATCGAGGAAACCAATTTCACTGCCTATCTTGGTGGTCTTCACTGCAACTCTACATTACATTACATCACGCTTTTCCAGCAGCGAGGGGAAAAACCCTGGCTCCCCAAAGGGGTAACGCCCCTAACCGTAAAGGCCAGACGAGAAAGCGGGTGCGGCCAAGTTGGGAATTAGTAAGAGGGCGCACGCCTCCTTGGCAGGAGAGATAATCCAGCCTTCTTCCAAGCGGGGCGGTCAGAGCAGCGGTCGTCTAGGTGAACGGGGACATCGATCCCTATGGCAGCACAGTCTCGCCTCGCTACATCAAACCATGACATGCGCGGCCGCCCCACAGCGCGCGGGCCGGGGGCGGCGCTCCAAAGCGCCAAATTGGGCAGAC